CCAAAGGTAACCATGCCAAACCCATCAACACCTCGCCCCAACCTCGCCTCCGCCCTTTCCCCCTCCTTCTTTTAAACACCCCTTTAATTTTTTATTAGTGACATTCAAGATTTGCCTTTAAAGATCAGTCAAGCTTCCAGAAGCAAAACCGAAAAGGACAAGAGATTTCCCTCTGGGGGCCAATTTGCTGTCTCTCCTAATTTTATCTGTAATTCTCGGGGTGAATTTGCGCAGAAGGGGAACGCCTGCCTCCTCCTCCTCCTCCTCCTCCTCCTCATTCCTTTCCTTTTCGTTTATTTTTGATTTGAAAAATAAAATAAAACGGACTGAAATGGGAGTTATTTGAATTCTCGCGGATGTTGACAATCTACTTCAGCGATCAGCTGGCATGTGGAACATCGGAACTTTCCTTCCCATCCTGACTTCTGAAGATCTTCTAAATCTTTTCTAAAGATTTAGTGTTTGGGGGCTGTTTTTAAAAGGAAACCAAGGTGGAAGTCTGTGAAGGAAGAATCACCTAGTTTGTGTAATTTGTTCCTGTCTAATATCGATCTCAGGATGTGTGTACTCTCTCTCTCTCTCTCTCTGTCACTCACATTCAAGATTTTAAGAGTTTATTCTAAATATTTCATTTGGTTGCTTCTACGTTAGCGTGAATTCAAACATGGTTTTTATGTGTGAAATAGAATTTTTTTAAAAAATCTTTCCCCCCCCTGTTTGTAGGCTTTCTGATCTCCAACTGGGAAAAATTTTTTAAAAATCCCAAATGTTTCGAGAACAATGAAGAAGTGTGTTTAATAACTCTGCGCCACAACCACCAATGCAAAATAAATTATAAAATAAGTAAAAATTTTAAAAATGTATTAATCTCTGCTAAGTTTCCCTCCCCCCCCTGTTTAACCAGAAAATATACTAACCCTGATGATCTAGAATATGAAACAGGTAGGGAAAGAGGTAAATTGGTCTTAAATATACTGTACTTTAAAAAAAAAAATCTGATACCTGATGAACCAATAAATGTACTTTGTTATGGACGTCTTGTTGAGTTTATTTATCTGCATCTGTACAGAAGACAAATCCACCACTGTATAGAACACAGAACAATTTCTTTGAGCTTTAAAATATTGGGGGGGGGGGGGAAGTCTTGTATAAATACTATCCAAGATTTTGCATAGTTCCAATTTTGTTCATATTTAGTGAATTCCTGAAGGGAGAGATCCAATATTTTATTACTTTCTCAAAGGTCTTATTCTAGCTTAAATGTCACCTGTCTGAGAATGTCTCCATAGATTAAAGCAACCAACGGAAAAGGCTAATACATAACATTTTTCAAACTGCACATCCAAATTGAAACCAAACACACCCCTATGCATAACTGAAATAAACAGATTGATTCTTGTTTATTATTTTTTTTCCACACACATTTCTCTTTCGTGAAACTGTAAGTTGCTTGGGGCAGAGATCCTAACCTTTCTTGTTTGATTTAAAAGGAAGTAATTCTGTTGAACTAGCCACCAGGATGAAGTAACACTCGAAAACAAATATACTTATTTTTGTTTAAGCGCTACAACAACAAAAACACAACAATTTCAACACCCCTAGAAAGGCACCAAGCATGGGTTTCTTGTATGAAAACTCTCTCTTCCCCAACTACATAAAACTAGCCTCTCAGGGAATCCAGTAAAGTAGAAATCTAGGTAACTCGAGAGTCCCACACGCAGAATTTAACGTAGACGAATAGCAATCTGAACAGACTACGAAACAACAGAGTTTGGGAGGGACTTTAGAGGTCTTCTAGCCCAACCCACTGCTCAGACAGGAGACCCTATATACCAGTTCAGACAAATGGCTGTCCATTTGTCCTGAGGCATCCATTGCCAAATCAGCAGGGGGAAAAAAAATAAACCTTAAGTTTGCAAAAGTGCACGTTTCTTTGCAAGGGAAATCTTGAAAGTATCCAGAAACTGACAGTTATGGAATTTCTACCGATCATTGGGAGGAAAATAAATGAATAGAGGGAAAGTAGAGCAGCGTAGGTAGAAGTAGGAAATGTGATGTGAATTTCATTATATAGATAGATAGATAGATAGATAGATAGATAGATAGAGAGAGAGAGAGAGAGAGAGAGAGAGAGAGAGAGATAATCTCTTTTATTTTTAAAGTTTTAAAGTATATATGTTCTTTTTTAAAGCAACGCCTACCTTTGTCACCCAAAATGCCATCGATACTATGCTTGGCCTTCTTCTCGCAGTCCTCCTCCTTCTTCTCGTGATCCTCCTCTTCCTCTTTCTTCCCGAACTTGATTCGGAGCACACGGCTAATCGAACTCACTAAACCTCAGACAGTCAAAGACAGAAGAAGAACATATAAGCTGCTTTGGAAGGGAAGAGGGGGGACCCAGAAGAGGCCCCCCACCAAAAAAAAACAGCAGCCTTCAATCGAGAAAAGTTAGGCAAAAAACACCCCAAGATTCCGGCTTGATCTAGATTTTCAGATTGTCCCAGCATCTTCTTGGGTGCTGGTTTGCCGGTTGTACCAACCCTTACATTACACCAGAAACATTGACATGGTTGGTGTTAATCTTGAGGTTGTTGGTCTGGCAGCTTGTGGGGCAAAGCCTTGGCTGAACAGCTGAATCAACCAAGAAATTCAATCAATGGCCAGTCCAAATGGATTGGTTCCTTTCTACTCCTGGTTCTCTGTCCAGAAGCCATCTCCAAGACCCTGTGAAAGGAGGACACCTCAATCCATTTGGCTAAAGGCCACCTTCTCTTGTCTATTCAGAAGCCCATCATTCTCAGCCAGCATTGAAAACAATTCCATGCAAAGAAAGCCCCCAGGATGCCTTGTTTAATTCATCCATACCATTTCCTAAAATGATGGAAATCTGGAAGCTGAGGAGATATTCCCACAAACTTAGTTTAGGAGAAAACACTATGTTTGGCTCCTGGTTTGGAGGCTACCATCCATGGAGAGTGCCCCCAGACTCTAAGCTGTCATTTTAAGGTACACCCAAAGAAACAATGCCAGCAAATAGAATTTACTGAATATCATCCATGCCTCTTTGGAGACCCATTCACACTTAAAGAGTTTACAGAGAACCCCTGGTCACTTTTGACCAAATGTTGAAGTCAAACTGAGCTGCATTATGAAATTGTAAGCCACTCAGAGTCACACTGCAATTACACAACTCCAGATCCTTCAAACATAAGTGCAAAAGGTGCTCCAAAGACAAAAAAAAACAAAAAACCTTGAAGGACGGGCCAGAAATAAAACTGGATAGGTAAACAAACCCTCTGAAATTAACCTGGTCTAAGCGCATTTAATTGTGATGCATTAATACGTCCGCCCTTCTGTCTAATAAAACGGCAGCCCTTACACATTGCTATTTAATCCCCTGCCGTTTTGAAGGCTAATTCCTTCTTGAGTAAACATGGTGCTTTCTTGGACATTACAATATTATCTGTTCCCGTGTCAAGAGGCTCAGGAAATGCATTTATTTATTTCGCACGATTAATATTCTAGCTGCCACGCTAAAGGGAAGGCATAGACTTCAGCAACAGGAGCCTGGGTTGAATGCACCCAGACGCACATATAACGCCCTACTTTGGCAGCCAAACCTCCCCAAAGTGAATCTTTTCCCAACAGGCTGCTTGCTGCGGGATCTCTTGATTCCCCTGCCTGCCAGTGATTATTTTCAGGATAAAAAGCAGAACCATGAAACAAAAAAAACGAAACCCAGAAGGCCTAAAGAAAATTGAAAAACGAGATCAGCTCCACTCTTGTAAAAGCTCTCGGAGCATCTCAGAAAAACCCTTTCCTGCCTTTACAAACCTCCTCCTAATAAATACATCAGTGGCCTGGGAGACCACAAGTGGCTTTGAAATGGTTGGGCTCATATTTTGGTTGTCAGTTAAGATTACTGGGTTTTTTTTTTTTTTAAACCTTCTGGTTAACTGTCCACAGCCTTTTTCAACCCCGAGAAGGTAGAAAATTCTGCTCGGATGCAGAATGCTCAGCACAAATACACACACATATAATATAATCCAATGAGGTTTCCTTCCTATTTCTTAAGGAAGCTAGTTATCAATCTTAAATCTTTACAATCTTTAATTGTAAAACAAAAAAAAGTGTGAATATTCAACGTTGGTAAAGAGACAATATTCAGCAGACTTTCCTGCAAGGAAATATATCTTGAACAACATGTTGGTGATGTTTATTTGCATCAAACTAAGACTGGATTTTAAGACAGTTATCCAGCCAAACCATTTCCGCAGGGTTCTAGAGATTTCCTGGGCCTCTTTCTTCGTTAGGTCAATATCATGCCTGCTTTCTTTAAATGGTCTCCTTTTTTTCCCCCTTCATTTCCTTTTTTTTTTTTTTTAACGAGGAGAACAAATTAAAAAGGAAACTTTTTGTTTCCCGTAACGTCATCTTCAAATGGCCATGATAAAAATTCTGACTTGTAAGCAGGGAGGAGGGGAAAAAAAAAATCTTGCCATGTTGATATGCCGCACTGAAGTTCAGGCCAATGATCTTCATTTAAAATGTCAACCATAACCAACTTTGGCCTTCTCCAGTAAAGAAGAAGCTGAAATGGCGTCTCGATTCAACATTCTTCAGAGGTTCAAGAGTCATGTCTGAATGTTGCCTGTGCCTTATCTATCAAGACCTGATCCTAGTTTGGTGCAGGGATGCACCAGAAAATCTATGGTGAAAGAAAAATGCTTCCTCCCTCGCTGAAATGCTACAGCCCAAATTTTGGTGAAGATTAAAGGAAGTTTCTGAAAAGTAGGAGCTAGAAAGATATCTGGCCAAGTTGCTACAATTTTGCTCCATTTTCAATTAACCCAACATTCTGAGTCTAACACAGCGCTGAGCCCAAAATTATGGTCTGGGCTGGTGGTACACAAAGTGAAATTCCAGATGTGCAAACCCAGTTCTTGTGGCTCTTTTTTAAGACTTGGCTTAAAGTCAGGAAGTTGGGTTAAGGGAGCGGTGTCCAGCTACAAGGTCCCTTCGTAAAGTTGAAGGATGGTTGCTACTGTGGAGCCGGCCAGGAAATACAGAATTTAAAAGTCTTAACTGTCCGGTCTGGTTTCCTTCTCACCTGAAGGGACCGTGGTCCTATCACAGTGGCCATCTTTGAGTAGCCGGTCTCGGATCTCCCAGCTAAACATGCCAGGATTTTCCCGCTTGTACTCTTCAATTTTTTTCTCCACATCTGGAGTGGCAACCTGCTTTTGGGGTTAAGAGGGGTTTAGGAAGGAAGGAAGGAAGGAAGGAAGGAAGGAAGGAAGGAAGGAAGGAAGGAAGGAAGGAAGGAAGGAAGGAAGGAAGAGAGGAAGGGAGGGAGGGAGGGAGAGAGGGAGGGAGGGAGAGAAGGAAGGACGGGAGGGAGAGAACAAAAATGCACTTTTAAATTCAAGTTCTACAGACTACCAATGGACTGCCAAGCTGGTTTGATCTGGGGATGTCCATTCCAGGCTCAACCCTGAAGGCCAACTTGTCAAGAAGGTTGGATCAGTCACCGTTCCTTCTACTTGTCTATGCAGAGTCTCAGTCATTTGGGTTGTCCCAAAGGTGCATTTTTTTCAAGAGGCCACTGGACTTTCTGGTTTTCCTTGGAAGACGTTTCGCTTCTCATCCAAGAAGCTTCTTCAGCTCTGAATGAAGAATTTCCCTTCTTTCAGAAGAGATGAAGCTTCTTGGATGAGAAGCCAAACGTCTTCAAAGGGAAACCAGAAAGTCAAATGGCTTCTTGGGGGAAAAAGAACAACACCACCTTTGGGACTTCCTTCTACTTCTTAAGAAAGGGTAGAAGACCAAGATGCTTTACCTCTTCAAGAGAATATTTGGAGGTCAAATTCAAGAGTAAATTTGAGGAAAACAGCTAAACCTAGCAATGAAGGAGGAAGCTGTTCCGTTATCTAAGCCAGAGGTCTCCAAACTTGGCAACTTTAAGACTTGTGGACTTCAACTCCCAGAATTCTCCAGCCAGCATATCTGGAGACTAAAACCTACCATGAACGGTTGCAGGAACTGGGCTCGGCTAGTCTAGTGAAGAGAAGGACCAGGGGAGACAGGAGAGCAGCCTTCCAATATTTGAGGGGCTGCCCCAGAGAAGAGGAAGGGGTCAAGCTATTCTCCAAGGCACCTGAAGGCCAGAGAAGGAATAATGGATGGAAACTAACCAAGGAGAGATTCAACTTGGAAATAAGGTGAAAGAACAATCAACTGATGGAACAGAAGTTGCCTTGGGAATTTATGGGAGCTTCATTCCTTGAGACTTTCAAGAAGAGATTGGATTGCCCTCTGTCAGAAATGGTGTAGGGTCTCCTGCTTGGACTAGATGACCTACAAGATCCCTTCCAACTCTGATGATCTGTTATCTGTTTAAGTCTTAAAGTTGCCAAGTTTGGAGACCCCCTGATCTAGGCAGATCTAACTCCAAGGGCTGCCCCTAAGTCCGTGACTCCCCCCCCCTCAACTCTCTCTGCCAATCCAAGGCAAGGAAGTGGCCCCAAACCCAGAAGGCCCCTCTCCTCACCTGGTCGCTGCCCCCCCCTGCTTCCTGGTGGGCTTCCAACTAACTCCCTCCCTCACTCACCCTGGGCTTGCTGCCACCGATGGCTCCCGGCCGGATGGATCCCGTTTCTTGGTACCGGCAAAGGATCTTGGAGACGCAGCCATGGGAGACCCGCAGCTGGCGAGAGATGACGCAGGGACGGATGCCATGGTGCGCCATCTCCACAATCTTATGGCGGATGTGGTTCGGCAGGGGGCGCCCATTGATGAAGACACCTCCAAGCTGGTTGACTCGCCCTTGGCCCAGCGGGGTCGAGACTGCAGGGGGGGAGGGGGGAGAGAAAGGGGAAAAGAGGTCAAGGCCTGCCCAGTCAACAAGGGCTGCCCCTTCTTGGCCCTAGACTCCACAGCCTCAACTGTGTTGAGAATCCCGGAAGTTGGAGGCTCCCGGTGGCTCTGGAGCTCGGCCTGTGGCCTGAGAATTGGGGAGGGGGGCCCAGTCAAGACCCCGGAGACCCCCCTCCCCCCAAAATTGGGGAAAGTCTCCTTCTGAAGACCACAACACCTCTCGGTGGTGGACTTCCCCGATGGCAGCTCAATCATCCAGCTGCCAAGTGGATGAAGAACCGTTGAAGCGTCTTCCTCTTTCCTAGAGAACATCCCACATTTGCTTTTGGGGTTACACACAAAAGTGTGTGTGTGTGTGAGCGTGTGTGCGTCCCCTGTCCCACCTTCCCTGTTCCTCCTGCGGAGATTCTCCAGAAAGAAAACGGGAGGCCCTTCACCAATCCTTGGGAGAGTGAAAAGCTTAAATTTCCAGAATGCAGGTTTGACTACCCCACGACACCATTTCTACAAGCCTACAAGCCGAGTGTTTCCCATCCACCTGGTCTCTGCCTGCCCTGCACATCCTTTGAATTATTATTTTTTTTGGGGGGGG